CTTCCTTCCTTCCTTCCTTCCTTCCTTCCTTCCTTCCCTCCTTCCTTTTTTATGCTTTCTTGAGACATGCTTTCACTACGTAGCCCAGGCTAGTCTGGAACTCACTATGTAACCCAGGCAATTCTCTTGCCTCAGTTTCCTGAGTGTTGAGATCACAAACATGTGTCACTAATGCTTAGAGTTTTGTCTTTGTGTTTAATGTGCATATTTAGTGTCTATTTTTCAACATATAACTTTACATTTTGTAAATATAAATCGTGTACATAATATATAATATGACCTATTACATTGTGTACATAATATACAATATGATCTATAATACATGTAAAATTTGAATATATACTATGTGAGGGGTAGGTTCATTTATAATAACATACCATAGATTGTGAAGGATAGGATTAAAGTATAGAACAAAGTAGGTGTTCAGAAAATAGTACAGATGCGGTAGTTGTTATAGGCATTTATAGATAGATTCATTTTGTTCTGATTAAATCTTAATTTAAAGTCTTCAAGGTAAAAAGTCCCCATTCTTCAGAAAAGAAAGCTTATAGAGGGGGAGAGGAAGTATGTGGCCTAAAGTCCCCCAGTGAGTGAATGGTGGGGTAGAAGGAAGCAGGCCTACCTGGCTCAAATATCACATCTTCCCTGCCCAAGCCTGCTCATCTCTTTCCCAACAAAACAAACATACTGGTTCCTACACCCACTTTTCTCCCTGCCTTTTTATTTAGATGAACCAGTAAGAAAGAAATGTTTTTATGTAAATGCCAAACATACTTTACATCACTTTGGGTGATGGATACATTTGCTGCTTTTTGGAGGAACCAAGCTGTTTTCATGAGGGTTACTCTACTTACAGAATAAGAACACACGGGAAGGAAAACCTTTACCTGCACAGGGTGGAGAACACTGGAGAAAAATGTCAGGGAATCAAAGACAAAGGTAGCTAGTGGTACTTCTTAGAGTTTTATATATACATATATATATATAATTTATTTATTAATAAATGATGCTATTTAAAATGATACAGTCAGTGATTGAAGGTGAAAGACTTTGAACTTGGCATCGATATTTACAGCTACTGTGGTCTGAGTTTGTCCCTCACTCACATTCAAATGTTGCCATCCTAGCTAACCCTCAGTATCTAAGAATATGACCTTATGTAGAAACAGAGTCATTACAGATATAATTAGGTAAGATGATATCATTGGAGTATGCTGTAATTCAATGTGACTAGTGTCCTTATGAAAAGAGGGAATTTGATCTCAGAAATATGCAGAGGGAAGATGTGATGAGCCACAGGGAGAGGATGACCACGTACAAGTCAATAAGAGAGGCCTCTAACAGATCCTCCTTCACAGCCTTCAGAAAAAGCCTGTTCCTTGCTGTCTTCAGTCTGACTTCTGGCCTGTGAAACTGAGACAGTACCTTTCTGTTTCTGAAGTCACTCAGTTTGTGGTAGTTTTTTTTTTAATTGGCCTAGCAAACTAACACAACAGCTGTTATAAATGAAAATGTTCAATCCCATTTGCTCAGACATCATACCTGTACCAGGGCTGACCAGCTATTCTAGCCAGGAAGAACCCCAGGGAGTAGCCAGCTATAGGAAATATTGTCCCTATAATCCATAGTTTGGGTTCGATGATCCAGGCACTTTGGTACAGTATTCCTCCGACCACAGCAATAAGCACAATGAGAACTGCGCCCGCGATGGATCCAACCTGGAAGGAAAGCCAGAAGTGAGTACAACAGTCCTGTGTCACAGGAAGTCCAGAGATGGTTATCAAGGAGGAAGGTTAGAAAGCCTCTTTTACTGGGGAAGTGAAGATGAAGCTCTCTCTGTTCCTCCAGCCCTGTGGGAAGTGCTCATGTTCATCCAGCGTTCTAGTGATTAGGAGACCATCAGGACGTATTCTTTCTACGCGTAACTTGCCTGAGGAAGATTTTCTAGCTTGGGAAATACCATGTCCAAAAGGAAGAAAACCTACTATAGTGAGAGCCTAGAAGACCTGTCTTCCAGATCAAGTCTTCCCTATTCAACAGCCTTTGGTAAATCACGAGCTGTTTTTTTCTCAATTGTTTTCGTTTGTTATTGAGGATAAAATCTTGCCTCAGTCAACTTCAATGGTTGTTTTGGTCATAAAAATGGGCATAATGCTTCATAAAAATAAAAAATTAAAATATAACACATCATTGTTATTTTCTCCCTTAAAAAGATTTATTTTTATTTTTAAATGTGTGTGTGTACTTGTACGTGTGAGTACAGTGCATGTGGAGGCTAGATGAGGCTGTCAGATCTTCTGGAGCTGGAGTTACAGTAGGCTGTGAGCTGTCTCACATGGGTACTGGGGACTAAACTCTGGTCTTCTGCAAACATAGTACACTCTCTTAACAGACGAGCCATCTCTCCAGCCCTAGTTTCTCCTTTTTTGACTTAAAAATGTTTGGAGGTGGTAACTTCTGTTTTGTTCAGGGAAACGGAATATGAACTAGCTCATTTTCTGCCCAGCGGGATCTCTCATTCACAGGCACATCTGCATCCTCTAGCCAGAATGTAGTTGGTGAAGGGAGGATGTGATGACTGTATACATTTAACATCTGCCAGTTTCCAGGTGCTAAACTGGCCACATATGTTTCCAGGCATGAGAAGGATATGGTCTGCTTTCCAAGACAGCTGTCAAGGTGTATTTGACAACATAAACTCAATGCAGATAAGAGCAAGGTGCTGCAAGAACAGTAGAATAAAACCAACCAGCGATGTTTGAACTGGTGACTTAATGGGTGGATGGAAGTCTGTCCTGCAGATGGGACATTCTATACGGCAGGTTTGTATGACTAATAATGGCACGTCTTCTAGAAGGTAGTTATACAAGAGAAGCAACATAATTTAGGAGATGGAAAGATTGTATCATTCCAATTCTTACTGCAGAGCGTCTAGCTGTGCAGTCTGTGACATGCATGGGATACTTACTTTAAGTATGATCTTTGCTTTTTGTGGCCATTTGTGATTCACAAACATTCCAAAGGACACAGGAATAACCAGAGCAACCAGAGAAATACCTAAAAATGATCGAAACAATATAGAACATGAGAAAAATTGAAGGTAAGTAGCCTGGAAAAGGCTCAGGCAATGTTTTAGTCTCTCTTCTTTCTAAAAAAATTATTTCATTATTTTTATTTTATGTGTATGTGTGTATTGACTGCATGTAGGTAAGTGCACCCATGTCATGCAATGCCCATGGAGGATACAAGTAGCTGTCAGATCCCTTGGAACTGGAGTTATGGACAGTTGTTAGTTGCCATGTGGGTGCTGGGATTTGAACCTGGGTCTTCTGAAAGAACAGTCAGTGTTCTTAACCTCTGAGCCATCTCTCCAGCTCCTAGTCTCTCTTCTTAATACACAAACAATGTAAAATTATACATATCTTCACATACCTATACACACACTCCCACACACCTATACTCACAAACTCATATATACATACCAATAAACAAACACCCACACACACATGCACACACACATATACACATGCTTCATATATACACATGCTTCACACACTTATACACACCCATGCCCATACACCCATGCAAATGCACACACCCACATACACACACACACACACACACACACACACACACACAATTTCTTTCTAGTTAACAACTTAGTATTATAGGCAGAGAATTGCTAATAATGATGTTATAGACATTTTCACTAAATCCAAGGATTATTTTTTAGAACTCCTTGTATTACTAATGTACTTTTATTTCTATTTGGCAAAATCATGACTTCTTTAGTGTTTTAGCTCTTGTGTGTGCATGTGTGGGGGTGCTGTGTGGTATGTGGTATATGGTGTGTATGTATGTATGTGTGTATATGTCTTGTGGTATGTGTAGATGATATTTTACACTGGCCTATTACTTCATGGTCATAGAAATAAAAGAAACATTAAAAAATTTTAGAATGAAAGGAAACATCCAAAATTTGCTTAAGATCTCCAGGAATTTTGAATGATAAGAACTTCTAGTTAAAACTGACTTCAGTTATTCAAATTTATGATGAGAGGTGAGAAAATGAGATCAAAAAGCATGCTTTAAATTTTCTATGAGATAATATACCTGGTGACCTCTCGTGTAATTATAATTCTTTGCAGCAATGTGCTCACCCAGCCAGATAAAAGAGTCATACTTCAACTTCACCATGGGAAATTTACTGCTATTTTTGTGGCATGTGGTTTGTGTCTCCATATTATTTAACACTTGTTTGCCCAACAGCTCCTTTGCTTAACAAAGTACCAACAACTTCCAACTTCTCATGGGCTGTTTCTTTTTCAAACATTCTTTTAAAGTAGTATGAAAAGTGAAATTGAATAGTGAAATTATAAGAGATGGTTTCCTAATATTGGAATTGATTGACTCAGGACTGGACAACAGATTTTATAGGTTGGAATCCTGTAAGTATTAATTTAAAATGAATATAGTAACAAAAATACAATTTCTTTGTAGGCTTTTAGCCCTCCTTACAATGTGTCAACAATTGCTGTTTCAATTGATACAACTAGCTGACTCCTCTGGCTCTGAGTCTTCAAGTCCTTGGGGCGCACTAAGGTGACAGAGCACCAGGAGCAGGACCTTGAAACACCATGGCCCATGGTCAAGACTTCTTTTTTCTGGACTAGGGGAGGCCAGATGGTTTTCAGTGATTTTAAGTTGAAAGGAAAGGACAATCCTGGCCCTTCTTCAGACCCACTGATGTGGCCCCTGCCCATGGTATGGAGGTGATGTAGTGCTTTATTCTCCAATGGCTTGGGAAGTGGCTCTCTGTCCTTCAAGACTTCTTGCTTTACTCATTCCATATTGCCCTGGATTTCTGTGTCAGATAATTTATACAGAGCCAACAGGAGATGATTACAATTATCTCATCAAAACCATAACTTGGTTTTTAGTCATGTTTACACAGTGGGTATAGGAGGAAAGAAAGAAGAGGCAGAATGGATGATATGGTAGAACTTGGAGTCCTGTGGCCTGGGAGCTGAAGTGTCCTTGGGTACCAAATGGATGGAAAGATACCTGTCTCACTGTGCTGTGGTGAATGTCCAATGGTGATGTGGGCATAAAGATGTTGGTACCAGATACACTCAGTCTCAGGCACTCATGCGTCTGTATAGTTACCTGCTGCAGAGAATTTAGCTTTAGTGGCCGCAGCTGAGTAGGGGCCTCTTCTCAGCCACATGTCAGCATCTGCAGGACTCCGCAGCATTTTTGGAATGGGAGCAGCACACTGGGCACCAGGGAAGCTGCCCTAGCACTGTGCTTGCCTTCAGAGCAGGGTGGAGAGCCTGCCAGCAGCTATTCCCAGCTCCCCAGGAACCTGGGGCAAATTAAATAATTACTCCAAGCCTCAACAGCCTCATTTATAAGTGATGACAACATCTCATGAGGCTGTCAGCTTGGTTTTCTTCCTCATTAAAAAACTAGGAAAACCAGGAAAAAGGTTATGTTGGAGAGCCATCTGGGCAAACATAATACAGACGGTTAATTTTTGTGTTTTTTAAAAATATTTTATTTATTATTTTCATTTTATGTGTATTGCCTGCATGTATGTGAGTGCACCCATGTCATGCAATGCCATGGAGGTCAGAAGAGGGTGTCGGATTCCCCTGGAACTGGAGTTGAGGACGGTTTGTAGTTTTAAGTCCTTTCTCTTTTTCTTTCTTGTTTCTTCTTTTTCTTTTCTTTTTAGCTCCTGACCTCTTATGAGGACATTTTTTTTTGCCAAGTTTCTAATTCATTTCTCATTTTCTCTTCCTTTCAAAATTTATTTTCCTTAAAGCATATGGTATAAATCATCCATATAGTGTTTGGATTTGTCAATATTCCCACGGGTTATTTTCCAGAAGGGAATGTGTCTCAAAAGGAGAATATTTTAAGGCTTAAACCTTTTTGCTTTAGAAATGAGTAATATGCAATCCAATCTTTTAGTCAGTAGGGAGGTTCTTTGAGAGCTCTACAATGTCCAGTGTTCAAAAAGACTGTGTTAACTCTAGGGAAGGTGTTCACAGAGAGAACAGCTTGAGATGGAAACAAGATCATAAGCACGTGGACAGGGATGGTCACTCTAAACCCTGTCTGAAAGAGCGTCTAGCTGATATTAGGGAGTTTCTGGGGGCCAATAGGAAGATCTTGACAGACAAAATCCCCTCCTGACATCAATCTAATCTATATGGTAGGGGTGGAGAAAAGCACTGTAGAACACTGTATTGCAGTTTCTACAGAAACTGTAGGAGAGACCTCCCCAGCAAACACAATTTGTTTCAATTCACATTTTTTTTTTTTTGGCTGGAATCATGTTTAGTCACAGAAATAATCTTTCTTCGAAATGGGAGTTTTAGTCTACTTTCCACCCCATAGGAATTTCTTTTGAAAGCATATCAGGAAGTTTCTGGTTGAACTTGGCCATATGTTCTCCCATCAATAGTAAACCTACACCTTGCTGAGACTGCTCAAGGAAGACTGCAAAGTCAGCTGAAAAAGGAGACTGTTAGTCGTGTACTTGGTGACCAGCACTGGGGTTAGTTTCTCTACCTCTCATTTCTATTATGGTTGGTCTGTGGGGCGCCTGCTTTGGGCATGCTGGAAATTCTTTTATCCTTTCAGTAGTCCATCTCTATGTTAACAAGCACTTTATCTCCCACCACCTCTGCTCTCCCAGAAACGGTAAAAAAGTTCCTTCGAGATGGGGAAGGTATTTAGGAGTTGAAATGAATAAGGAGAGAGTTACAACTAGCAACTTTAACTTCCATGAAAACACAGAGTACCATTAAATTGGCTTTGGTATCAAGATGTGGCTCACTGTTGAGGGTGATGAACATTATGTTTAATCTGAGAGTATCCCATTGTGCCATTCATGACTACATACTATCTTGAAATCATTTTGTGATTTTCTTTGTGTATGTTTTTAAAATTTAGATTCCCAATTCAAATTTCCATTACCATGAACTGAACATGGTGAAAAATATGGGAAAAATGGTGGCAGCCCATACATCATCAGGGCAGATGGTTGGGGATAAGGGTTGTGCCTGAAACTGGCTTTTCTCCATGGTGATTTGAACTGAGGAAAATTTCAGTTTCTTTTATGGTGGTCAAGTTTTGGAATTTGCATTCTGTCAGTATTCATACAAAGTCCAGGGTCACTTTGTAATGAAATTGTAATTGGGAAAAATCTGCCTCTAGTTCCAGAAGGAAGTGATGCCTGAGTATGAGCCTGGCCTGGGATCCTAGTGGGGAATAAGCAGAGAGCTTGAGGTTGATATGAAGCATCCTGCAGAAGAATGACCTACCTATGTTATCGTAGGGAATCACGATGGACCCGGAGTCAACCCACATCGTGGTGTAGATGAAGAGGCAAAGGGGCATCATTCCAAGGGCAAGCAGCGTGGAACATGTGGTCATGCTGACGCTGGAACAAAACAAGCAGCTTGAGGTGCCCACTTGTGTTTACTAGAGGAGGGGCCTATCATTTTCCTTTCCTGTGAGAACCAGATTCAACCAGTAACCTCATTTGTAAGATGGTGGAAATACACACGGGTCAAGTTTGTGAAGAGCAAAGTCTTCCATGTTTGGCGTCTTCCTACTTACCATGCACTATCCATCCTTTTAAGTTGTTCTCATGAATCATGGCTGGTATTTAATGACATTTCAGTTACTGAACAAGGTACTAGCTGCTTGGACATATCACCTGTTATATAGGACTTTTTTCTCTAAGCATAGCATGACCATTCCACACCTTCTTGGAGTAAAGATTGGCTTGGCCAGAGGCCAAGGCAACGAAACAAGCAGAACAGTATGATGAAGGCTAGGTCTCTGATAAAGGTTAGAGAGTATCACCAGTCCATCACCATTTCTACATAGTAAGAAGGGAGTGTGAAGGATCACATGATCCCACTCAGAATTCCATTCTGAACTCCATTCCCATCTGCCTCTATTTCTTGCTGCAACTGATGCTGGAAGATCCTACAGCATACAGGAAGTGGAAGGTTGATGGAAGGTGAGACTATGATACAGCTCCCATGAGACCATCTTCTATGATGGGATACGATTTTGTGGTGATGTACCTGTTTTGGGGTCACTCACACTCTTGGGTGTAGAGTAGTAACCCCTCACCTATGTTTTCCAAGTAAGCACAATAAACCCATTATTGATTCACCAAGTTGAGCTTGGATGGAATCCTCGCTTTGGTCTCCCACTGGTGCCCTATCTGGGCTGAATAAACATTTGTTCTCATTTCCCCAGGGGAAGTTAATGTGGCATCATTTGAACCAACAAGGAGAGAACAGTAGACACTTATTTACTATGCATGCATGACTGAGTAGGATGATTTTGCCTTCTGACCTGGAGGAATCTCTATTACATCATGCTATTTTCAGCACTATGACTGAGGACAGAAGGGAAGTTTTTGAGCAGTGAGTCTTCCTGATCCTTTTCAAAGCATCCTGGATTTAAAGGGCACATTCTCTGCCTGTGGAATGAAGGGGCTTAATGCCTGTGTTCTGAAACTGCACACTAAGTTGGAGGGTGGTGTCTCTTGGTATGTGGCTCTGGGCAATGTACTGGATCTCTCTTGACAGTTTCATTGCTACCTCATAGGCTGTGATTAATTGAACAGCCATTGGTGTCTGAGCTCTAGAACAATGCCAGGAGGAAAGCCAGTTACTATTATTTATATAGACACAACTGCATTCATTTTGTGTTCCACCATATGTACAACCAGGCAACTTAGAGCAATGTTTCTGAGGGACTCTTGCTGGGCATCTAAAACACTGAGGTGACTAGAATGGTAATTTATTAAGGCTATTATGTGCTTTCTTGAAGGAAAATGCAAAAGATTTATACTACATGTCCCCCAAACAAGAAAACAACAACAAACCATACTATGGTGAGGAAAGCCGATGGAGATAAGAGATTTTATTTTAATGCATCTAATTAAAAACTTGCATAATTTTGGAAAAATAACGGGTGAAGGGAAAAGTCTATCGGGGCCTTAACTTCTTTAGTAATCGTTTTTAAAGTAATCTTTTTAAAATTCTTTAAAATGAGTTTAAAAGATTCAGATTAAAATGTTTACATTAATAGAGCTAAAATATGACTACTGTCATAACCAATGCTAGAGATTTATTTAAAAGATTTTTCTAAAGGAGAGAGAATGTGAAATACTAAATATCACATGTTTTATCTCACATGTAGAATAGCTTTCTCTCTATCATCTATCAATCTATCGCCTATTAATCTGTCATTTATCATCTATCTGTCTGTCATCTATGTATTTATCAATCTATAATCTATCGCTATCTATCTATCTATCTATCTATCTATCTATCTATCTCTATCTATCTTTATCTATCTATCATCTATCATCTAGCATCTATTTATTTAATTAATGTGCATGAGTCTTTTGCTTGCATGCAATGCCCATAGAGGCCAGAAGATAGTGTCAGATCCTCTGGAACTGGAGTTTTGAATGATTGTTAGCTGCCATGTGGGTGCTGGGAACTGAATCTCGGTCTTCTGGAAGATATCTATCTATCTATCATCCATCTACCATCATCATCATCTATAAATCATCTATCATCTATCTAGAATCCTATACCAGACAAATAGGTTCATTTGTAATAGTAGTGCTTTGTCCTGTTTGTAATGAAAGTACTGGAGTTTGCACATTATTTTTCCTTTCCGTCCTCCCTTCTTTTGACATTCATTGTCCCAAGTTGTCTTCATAATAAAATGCTTCTATTGCTGTGCAGCAGCTGATGTGTTCTAGTGTTAGATGAGCTGTGCAAGGGAACAGGATCCCTTCCCTGGTCACAGTGAAGAGAGGGCTGAAACTATTTTTTTTGTTTTAATCTATAAGAATACTTTTTAGAATTGGATACTGGATAGATGTTGGTGTTATGTGTACTTTGCAAGACAAGGGTGGTCCTATGAGTCTGTCCAGTGCTGTCTATCCTATTCTTGGCTTATACTGACTCAATGAAGGATTCATCCATAGGAATCAGCTGGAGGTCTCCAACAAGGCTTCATATTCTACTTTTAAAAATATAATTTACAGGGCTGGAGAGATGGCTCAGTGGTTAAGAGCACTTGACTGCTCTTGCAGAGGACCCAAGTTCAGCTCCTAGCACCTACATGGCAGCTAACAACTGTCTATAACTCCAGTTCCAGGGCACCTGGAGTGCTCTTCTGGCCCCTGAGGACATTTCATGCACAGGTGTACTTACATGCAAGCAAAACATTCATACACATAAAAATAAATAAATAAGTAAAAATAAAAATATCATTTACTAGGTTCTTTTATTAGCTAGACAAGATATAATAATTATCTCCTGTTCAATAAATATATGGCTTCATACAAGTACAGTCTGGAGGCTTTTAATTAGGTCTTAGGGTAGGGTTTCTGCCCACAGAAGAGAGGTCATTTCAACAGGGGAATGATGACAACCATACATGATTGTTCTTTGTTCAACAATAATGTATGGTATTATGTTAAGGTATAGGCTGTACTGTTAAGACAGGGCTGTAATATTTAAAAGTTACAAATATATAAAAGTTCTTTAGCAGAGGTTAAGGCCTCAGGATCACTCTGCTCAGTTGGGTAAGTGTGAGTTCTTGCAACTCTTACTATGTGTGAACAGGTCAAATGGAATAGGAGCCTAAAAGGTCCTGATTGCTATACTATGTTCACAGATTAACTGAACTTCAAGGGCATTTACCATTTTGTATTCTTTTACAGAGTTTTCCTTTAAGGAAAAGATCATCTGTTGTTAGATAACAATTATATGCCGTATATGAAAATAGGTAACATATACAGCTTGCAAAGCTTTTCTAAAGCTTCTGGATAGCAACACCAACTGGGTGTTGCTCATCAGGCACTGGGTCTATCCAGCGGTTACACTTTTTGTGCTTAGAGCTTCCCTTTTGTGCATATAGTAGCTGGGGATAAGCAGCTGATTGCCGTCATCCAGTATTTGCTAAGCACGTGTTGCCATAACACCTGATGCTTAGCTGAAGTGTTATACCTTCTGCAGGAGACAAAGATGATGAGGGACGGAAAATGATGCTCGGCTACTCAACTCTCAGCATTAAAACCCCAACTTTAATCCCATGAATGCTTCTTATTTCTATTGCTCCCCCCACTTCCCCAATGCTGGTTCTGGCTGGCGCAGGATGAATTGGGAAAACATTACAATTTAGATTACTCTACTGGAAGCAGAGAAAGTATTTTCTGTTTATTTTGTGGTAAATCGAGCATAACTTTTTAAAAAAATCCTGCAGGAGAATGCTTTTCTTTTTCCCTTTTCTGTCAGTAGAGGTAAAGGGAACTTATGAATTTTTCTCTAGATTTTATATCAAGAAGTAATTTGCAAGGAATGGACTGTTTGGTGGGTTAGACCATTGCTTCACCAAAGGGTAACGAGAAGGGGAGGAGAGAAGGCAGTGGAATATTTGTGTCATGAGAGCAGGAAGAATTGTTTTCCAGAAGGAAGGGGACCAGCTGGGGGTGATGGTGGAGGGGAGTGGGGTCTGGGAAGAACAAATTGTAATTATATATATATATATGTAAATGTCATAATGAAACTTACTACTTTGCATGCTAACTAAAAAGATTCTTGATACAGATTAAAATATAAATGTTTTGTTTCAGAATGATAAAAAATCCAGTCATCAAACAAAAGCCCCCAGTTTTAACAGCTATGCATTTTATACCAGAGGGTACTTGGATACAGATCAGATCAACATTCCAAACACCAAAGGCTTCTGAGTTTAGCCCCAGTTGACTGCAGCACTTACAGGCATTACTGTCTTACCTGAGGTCCATGTCACCGTCCACCCAATAGGCGAGGACATTGGAAGCAGTCCCTCCAGGGCAGCAGCCCATAATAAGTACCACCACAGCCTGCACAGGGAGGACGCCAAAGGCCACAGACAGGATGAAGCCAGTGAGGGGCATGATTCCAAATTGACAGAGGAAGCCCACAAAAATGCCCCATGGACGCTTTATATGCCCCAGGAACTGCTGGAACTCCACGTTGCACCCCATGGAGAACATCACCATGGCCAGGAGGATGGTTAGCACAATGCTGAGCACTGTACTGAGAATTCTATTGGAGTCTTCCTCAGATACCAGGCAGGAGTCAGCTTCGCAGACAGATGCATTGGGGGAACAAACTGAGAAGTCATCCATGGCTGTCTGTGCTGTGCAAACTGCTAGGTCCACCGAAGCACCAGTCCCCTGGTCCTGTCTCTACTGCTAGCCAAGTAACTCTTACTTCAATGCGTCAAACTTTTAAACCCTCTCTAAACATGTGGCAGTTGGTGTTTCTTTCAAAAGTCACGTTAGAGAAGCAATAAAAAACAATAAATGCTAGCTAGTATGTCAGTTTCGAGAGGCGCCCTTCCAACAGCACAAGTAATGAATCATAAAAGTCCAGAAAAACTACCGGCCCAGACAGAAAGTGATAATTAATCATTTATCACCATGATAATGAACTGTGCCACATAGAAATAGACATGTTAATGTTTAATGCCATGAAGGCTTGCTGAATAATTTCAGTTAAAATGAAGATCAACTCTGAATACTACAGAACACTCTAGGGGCTGAGGTATAGGAGAACATACTGTTGTCTTAGCTCCCTTTAAGTAGGGAGGGCTGAGATCAGAAAGGCCAGTGCCCTATACCAAGCTATATTACAAATCTTCATCAGACTGACTGAAACTTCCAGTTTTGTCCCCAATAGTTTCCCATAGTTATTTTTCCTTGTGTTGGACTATAGTGTTCATAATGCGTGTGTGTGTGTGTGTGTGTGTGTGTGTGTATTCCAGAGACTTCTAGGGTCTAGAAGAATACTTACAGGGTGAGGTGGTTAACACTTGGGAGGACAGAGTGTTTTCTGCTAGAAGGAATCTGTGGAGCCACCCTCAATTACTTACACATGCAATTATGCATGTATCGCCATGGCAACAAAGTGCTTTATAGATAGAGACAATACAGTTATTTAGAGGGATGAACCCCAGAAGATTAGGTCAGAGTGACAGTATCTCTTTGTGCTTAGAGCTCAGAATTAAAATTAGATTTTTTTTTGTTTGTGTAGGGGGAAGGATTCTAAGAGATGATTTGAAATGTCAAATAGTCACTCTCATAATGGGCAGAACACTGTAGTTAGGTATATAAGGAAGAAAGAAAAAGAGGCATGGGAGAGATGGTCCAGCTCTTAGGTGTTTAAACTGCAACTTTAGAATAGACTGGGTTAAGGGGCTGGAGAGATGGTTCAGTGGTTAAGAGCACTGGCTGCTCTTGCAGAGGACCGGATTTCGAGTCCCAGCACCCACATGGTGGCCACGAACTGTCCTTAACTTCAGTTCCAGGGGAATCCAAAGCCCTCTTCTGACTTCTGTGGCATTGCACGATATGGATGCACTCACATACATGCAGGCAATACACTTATACACATAAAATAAAAATAATAAATAAAATATTTTTTTAAAAAAGGACTAGACTGTGTAGGTGACACATGTGTAATTCCAGCAATCCACAGAGACTGAAGCAGAAGGATCTTGAGTTCAAGGCCAGCCTGGGCTACAGAATGAGACACTGTCTCCATGTCTCTCCCCAAGAAAAACCAACAAACCAATTAAATGAAACCTTAGAACAGAGTTTCTCAGAGCCAAGTGTGCCAAAGATCCTTGGAAAGCTTGTCAAAAATGTAGATTCTGATTCTGCAAATCTGTGCTGGGCTTTTTCTTCAACAAGCTCACAGTCAATGGTAATGATGCTGAACTGGGGAACACTCTGAACATGTCAGGGCTTTGACCATGTCAGGGCTTTGACCACCTGTGGGGTAGCAATTGTGCCATGCTAGCAATGTCTGAACTGCCAACCACAGGCTGAAGGTGCTTGTGAACAACTCAACATAGGAAGAATGGCTTTATCACCAGTGCGCTGCCAGCAAGAGAGGAAATACAACCAGAAGACCCAGCAGCTGGAGGTCTCGGGATGCCGTTTCTTTAATCTGTGATTGAGTTACTGGGATAATTTGAACCATTTCCTTGACTGGTGATGGTGATTCATATTTCTTGCTGATGCAGCTCCTGTCCCAGGAGTGTCCTCCTGAGCTGTCAGTTTGTGCTGCCTGTGCATTCTTGCCTGGGTGGGCTGCCATTGGCTGTCAAAGCCTACTTCAGTGTTCTAGGATTGGAGTCAGTTGGCAGTCTGCCAGCTCCTGGAAGAGTCTTCCTTCTCCCCCACCGTCCACTCCACCCTGCAGCTAAATGATTAGCTAGGTAATTCCCAGTCAGGCCTCTCCGCCCACTGCTGGCTATAGAATGACTTGACCCTGCTGGGCTCAGATCTCCAAACATCTCCTGGGACTGACCTCAGCTCATTTCCTCCTCTGGTGCCAGTCAGCCCCAAGGCATGTGAGTCAAGTGTGCCCCCTTGTTGTTGCCCATGCATCTGCCAGCACCAACTCTCCCCTCTTTGCCCTGCTTTATCTTATTCTCCAACATTAGGTGGAAGTCAGAAAGGTAGCCTAGGACTGACCTCACACAGCCTCCGTACTTCATCAGGTCTTGTCTGTCAAATCTGAGCCCCAGGGTGGAAGGATTTAGATTTTGGAAATTTCTCTTAAGTTGAAAGGCTGTAGTGTGAGCCCAAAGCACAGGGCTTGAGACAGGCCTATTCAGACCCCTTCCTTTGAATGCCAGAGGGCTGGCCAGGTGGGCAAGCTCCATGGTTGGTCCTGAGCTTGTGGCTGGGTTGGGCAGGTATAATCCATTCTTCTTATTGTTCTTTTTTTTTTTTTTCATACAAAGTGTTAACTGTGCAAGAAAGGTCAGACTGTTTATAATAAAGGATCTTTGTAGATTTTTTGATAACTGCACATTTGTCAGAAATACATTGATGTTGGTAGGTATTCATTATACATGGTGATAGGTCCCATATAGACATTTTCTTCCAAGTAGATCATGTTCTCTGGCCCCATCCTCTTCTTTTCCTCTCCCATTTCCATTAGGCCCCTTCTTCTCTCAGTCTTACTTATGTTTTTATTATCCATCTATATAAAATCTAGATGCACAAATGAGAGAAAATGAGTGATGCTTATCTTTCTAAATCTGGCTAATTTGGCTTAATATGATGGTCACCAATTGCATCCATTTTTCAGAAAAATGTGTAATTTTGTTCTTCTTTTTGGCTAAGCAGAATTTCATCGTGTAAGTATACTGGTTTCTTTATCCAGTTCTCTGATGACAGACATCTAGGCTGATTCTTTAACTTGTCCATTATGAATAGTGTTGTAATAAGCATGGATGTGCAAGTATCTCTGTCGTGTGTTGACTTGGAGCCCTTCGGATACATATCCAGGAGTGAGATAGCTGGGTCATATGGTAGTGCTATTTCTAGTGTTTTGAGGAATCTCCCTACTGATTTCTTTTTGCTCACAGTGTTGGAAGCAGAGAAAAGAAAGTGAAGAGAGTAAAAAGCAGGTTCCAGACAAAACTATTCTCAAATTTCAGATGACTTGCTGAGGAGCTTTTTAGACTCCCAGGGGCAGAATGTTTTGCATATAGACAGCTTGAAAATGAGCAGTCTGTTTGACTAGACAGAGTGCTACAGTTCTGGTTTAAAAAAATGTGCCAACGCATTTCTAATTTTCACATTGTTTTTACATAAATTTGCACATTAGGCTCGAGAGGCCTTATATTCAAGTATTGGAGTGATTCGCAATTAATGAGTATCCTTAACTCCAGTGACATTCAAATTCAGGCATGGCAAATATTTAAATAAATAAAAATTGCTTTCTGCTTATGGACAGAATGGAGGCACATGCCACCTGAGGGGGAGTGGGGAGGATGAACCTTGGTTTTTCATTGTCATGGTTGCTCAAACTGCTTGCTCACACAGATTTCTCAGATCATGGTGCTCATAAAGAAAGCAGCACATTACTGCCCTGATGTCCTGGGTCAAGACATGGAGTTTGTGTACCCAAGGTGCGTTAGTTACTTTTCTGTTGCTGTGCTAAAACACCATGACCAAGGCAAATTATAGAAGGAAAAGTTTATTTGGGTTTATGGTTCCAGAGGAGTAAGAGTCCATCATGACTGGGAGGCATGGAGACAGAAGTAGCCAGAGCAGAAAGCTGAGTGTTCACATCTTCAAGGACCCACAGGAAGCAGAGGGAGCAAGGCTATGAACCCTCAAAGCCCAACCCCAGCGACTCACTTCTTTCAGCATGACCACATCTCCTAAAGTTTCCATGATGCTCCCCAGACAGCACCTCCAACTGACCAAATTCAAATATTTGAGCCTATGGGGGATACTTCTCATTCAAACCACCACAGGAGACTTCCCTCTGCCTCCCACGTGTCAGTTTGAAGGGCTCTCCTTTAATAGTTTGCCAGCACATCTGCCCTAAAGTTCATGTAAGCAACCTAAAATTTCATACCAGAGTTGTTTGGGACCTCCATTAACATTCTTTGAAATAAAACACACTTCAGGGAGGAATAGCTGATGGAAGACTACCTGGGAGTTAAAGGAAAAAGGTAATGAAGAATTGGAAGAGGCTTGGAGGGTGGAAGGGATCGAGCTTACTAAGGGACAGAGATCCAGGCTTGGAATCAGAGCTAGTTCTCGGTTATCTTTGTAAAATTCTCTGTGAAATGTTAAGATCTTAATGAACAATTGCAAAGCTTACTGAAGGTATGTATGATAGAAGAGTCACGTTAGAAAATGTGAACTTGTTCCATGACCCAAGTCACTCCTGTCTGAGGTATTGATCTAAAGAAATCTAAATGATGTTCTCTGAAGACATGAACTAGATCTTATTCATACTAGGTCCACCGGGAATATATCCTGAATAGAAAGTATTCAAATTCCTATCCAGGTAAAATGGCTTTTGTGTTTATTCGCATTGTGAACTTCTTTACATCATTTAGCTCCAATGATCTGTCACCACAGATCTAATGTTGAGTGAACGAAGCCAGTCACAAAGAATACTCACAAAAATAAAGCCTATGGGGATAGAAATGAGGAGAGTAGGGGCTGAAGCAATGAATGGCTCATTGGTTAAAAGCTCTGGCTGCTCTTGCAGAGGACCTGTGTTCAGTTCCCAGCTCTTGCATGGTGGCTAACAACTGTCTGTAACTCCAATTTCAGGGGATCCAATGACATCTTTTGACCTCCCAGGG